TGCTCATTCAGTACCCTGGCTTGAATACAGGCGTGCAATGGATTAATGCTTTGCTTCTTCTGAAATCTGAGGGAGTGTAGTATTTCCCTCTTTGCTAGACTGGTTCTTTGTCTCTGGAGAGAAAAGGTGCATCAGATTTACATTGTGATAGTTCTAGTTTTCAGAACTAGAGCAGAAAAATCTCTTGGAGTTCAAAGCAACCATGGTGTTGATTTTCTCTTTTATTGAAAACTAGTTTTGATTTGGGCTGTAGGGTTTGGAGATCAATTAGGGAAGTAAGATCAGGATGCTCCATAAAGTTCTGGGCTTGATTTTTAAGTTGACCTATTCATTTTAGAAAATTAAACACTGCCACAGTGCAACTTGGAATTTGAACAGTTGATTTCAATTTTTTTTAGAGCTGCAGTTTTGCAAGAGATCAGAGTTGTATAAACAGAGTTCTTGAGAATGTTGAATAGAGTATCTAAACATTAAAATTTATGTCTCTACCAATTTTACTGGGGTTTTATATATACAAAAAGTAGGAAAATTCTCATTTCCTATTTGATTTTAAAGTGTAGGCAGATGGCAGCCCTAAAAAGTATGAACGACCCTAATTAAAATGTGTTCATTGTAAGAATTCATTGCCTGTTAAACCTTTGTGGGCTTTTGGAATCTTATTCCTATAGTCATTTGTTTCTGTGGTTAGACTGTATCATTCTACTGGTGCTTTCTTTTCCGTCCATATTGGACAAAATTTGAGATTTCAGAAAAGCTAAAGGAGAGGTGTAAAAAGGGAGAGAATCTTAATGATTTTAAAATTTTAATGCAAGTATTTTTCATTTTAAATGATCGATTTGTGCTTGTGAGATGAAATGTATGATTCCAATCCACTCAGCCCTCCTTATTTTAGGTAGATTTTCAGCATACTATAAAAATATGTTATTTACTTCTTCTGAAAAGTAAATCCATATGTTAAAAATTTTGGCTTCACAATTGTAGAACTGTACCTAGCTTGGTGGAGCTTGACTTGTTTCCTCCTCTGCATATGCGTGCTCCCTTAGGGGCCCTCTGCTTTTACCAGCTGCCCTATCCTAACAATATGGAGTTGGGAACTCTCCTGAGTAGAAATTCTGTCTTCCATTCTCTAGTTTACAGATTTCTTTCAATCTAGTTGCAAATATTTCTAGTCTTTTATGCGCCATGCTTTCTCTCCATAACAATTAGTAATGAATTACAGATTTAAAGGTGGAGTTAAAAAATGCACAAAGGAAAAGACAAACTACACTTCTTTTATAAAAACGCCAGAAGACAGCCAGGTTCACTGTTGGGAGACCTCTGGGATGTGTTAGGTGAACCCTACTTAGCTTATGACACAAATAAAGTTGGATCAGTTATTTTTTTTAAGGATCGATATCAAAAATTAGATCAACTTTTATATAGCCTCATCCTTTGTGACTTGTTATATTGCTTATAAAGGAAAGGAGAGAGAAACTTCCATTAATTTAAGTAGTTACTAAACTAGAGGGAATAGAGAACATATCAGAATATGAATCAAATATTCGTTCCGGATTCTTATTTTAATTTGTATGTATTTTAATCATTCTTTCTCTCTACCTATTAAAGATTCCAATGCTGAATATTCAAGTGAAAGTTTTTCCTGCACTTTGTACTGTAGCAGGGACCATATTTTCCTGTACGAATTACTTCCGTGTGATCTTCACCGGTGGTGTTGGGAAAAATGGATCAACAATAGCAGTAAGTGTATTTCCAGTATTTGTTTATGCTAGGACCTGGTTTTCTAGTCACTCTGTTTTTCATTTGAATTGTTTAAAATCACTTGTTAACTTAGAGTTTCTGTTTTGTCTTAAAAAAACAATATCCAAAACTTCAGTTTTATTTATACGTGCATATTTATATGCTTATAGATGCATATTTTTGTGATGCACACACATAGACAGACACAAACTTTTATATACATATATTTTTTAAAAAGTATGACCTGCTTTGTCCTGGGCTCTCAGTTTGTGCCGAACCAGTCCAGGCCGCCGCTTTTCGCTTGCTGTTCTGGTCTGTTACAGAAACTGCTGGCCGCCAGGCATCATGAGGTTTTGAAAAGTTGAGTTGATCTTTCTTATGGCAGATTCAAGTAGCATCTGATCGGTATTGAGCACTATTAATTCCTCATTTCTCCTTTCTCTGTACAGGGAACAAGTGTCCTTTCTCCTTTTCTCCATATTGGATCAGTGATTACATTAGCTGTGATGATCTACAAGAAATCAGCAGTCCAGCTTTTTGAAAAGCATCCATGTCTTTATATACTGACTTTTGGTTTTGTATCTGCTAAAATCACCAATAAGCTTGTGGTAAGCACGAAAGTTCGGGTTTGTTTGTTATTTTAATTTTAATTTTATTTTGGTTTTCTGGTCATAGTTTTCATTCCATAGTTTCCTACGCAGTTCTAGAGTTTGCTCTCCTCCGATCAGTATCTCTAGACATCAGTATGGGAGCTGTTTTTACTCTTCTGTGAAGCTTCAATATGAGATTACCAGATGCTCCTTGAACCTCTCCAATTCTCCTTTCTATCCATAGTTTAATTTGGTTATTTCATTTATTTGCATTCTTAAATCTCAATCTCTACACTTAAATTAGGCTCCTTTTGAAAAGCATCTTTTGTGGGACTTAGGTGACATGGTATGTCTCTTTGGTGTGTAGTTCTCACATATGCTTTATGTTGTTGGTTTTTTGGTTTTGGAAATTCAACAGATATTGCTAAAAAAATTCTTGAAATTTGATATCTGAGCAGAATACTGATTTACTCTGTAGCTCTCAGTTGCTCTAATAAGGGAATGTGTACATACATAATTGATTCTCTTTTATTCACAGGTGGCACACATGACTAAAAGTGAAATGCATTTGCATGATACAGCATTCATAGGCCCAGCACTTTTGTTTCTGGACCAATATTTTAACAGCTTTATTGATGAATATATTGTACTTTGGATTGCCCTGGTAAGTACTGTGCTGTTTTATGAGGTAGAAGCTGCTAGTTCCTTTGCATCAGTGGGCCAGTCCTGAGAGATAGATCACAAAATTGTAACAATTTAGAACATCAGAAAACCATATTTATGGGACTTTGTGAGAGTTCCTGTGGCTTCATCTTTGAGCCTTTTTTTTTTTTTGGCATCATTATTTATAAATTCTGCCTGCATCAGTGCTTAGAAATTCCATATTTCCAACTATAAAGCAGGAGTTTGCAAACTATACCCTGTGGGCCAATGGCCTGTTTTTGTAAATAAAGTTTTATTGGGACACAGTCATTGCCATTCTTTTACCTATTGTCTATTGCTGCTTTCATGCTACCGTGGCAGAGTTGAGCGGTTGTGACAAAGACAGCATTGTCTGCAAAGCCTAAAATAGTCACCATGTCTCTAAGAGTGTTGATCTTTAACATAAAGGAAAAATTAATGAGGATATTGAGTTTTTAAACCGTATGTGATCGAGGATGAATCTGAAGAGAACCAAGTCAGAAGCTACTCGTCTTCATTTCGGAGATGTTAGGGATGACCGTAGCTGTCCCGAGACTAATAGTGTTTTTCCTTCCAGGTCTTCTCTCTCTTTGATTTGATCCGCTACTGCGTCAGTGTCTGCAATCAGATTGCGTCTCACCTGCACATACATGTCTTCAGAATCAAGGTCTCTATAGCTCATTCTAATCATCATTAACAAAATAATCGGTGTTTTATAAGAAACTCATGTTTTCTGTGGGAAAGAATCTGAACATATTAAGGAGAATGGGGTGGACAAGAACAAATATAATTTATAATAATCAATGTCGTATAACTTTTATTCTTTGTTATTGATAACACTCCTTAACTATCCTGTGTGAGGATGGGAATTTCAGGTCCCATTCTGTAAATCGTACGTTGTCATACAGGGTTTGGCCCGAGAAAGCATGCAGGAAAAAATGCCATGTGTTTGTAATTATCCTGGATTCTGAATAAAATTGTCATGGGGGGAGCAGATCACCAGTGGTGGAAATTTCTAATGATGAATATTTGCAGGCCAAAAGGTGGTTGCTTTATAAGTTTAACAAATCATCATCTTTTAGTGACATCCTTGTTTCGTGTCTTCTCAAGCATTGTACTAAGGAGCTCAGCTTGTGGCACAGATACATCCCACTAGTTTGTGAGGTGGAACTAGTGACAAAGACCTTGAATTTGAATCGAAAGGTTTCTTATCTTTACATTGTTAAGGAAGTCATTTTTTTTTATTGCTCAAGAAATGGTATCTCTCATGGGCTGGGGAAATCCTATTAGCATGCAGAATAATGTGGTAATTTTGTTGATCCATTTTATTTTTTTAAATAAATATATGATCTGAAAGCCAGCCTTTTTCTCAACTTTATTCAGTGGAAAAATGAACTAAGTTTTAATGTCATTTTTAAAACTTTAAGCAAAATTTATTTGTTCTTTAATAAATAAGAAAATTCGGTCGGCTGCGTTGTCGTTGTGTGTCCTGTGACCTTTCTACTTTATATAATTGTTTAACTGAAAACTGTGATCTTTTTCCCTTGATAAGTTTTTTTGCTGTAGTTGCCACTCTTGAGATTCTGAGCCTTTTAGGAATCTCAAACCCTTGCCCCAGATTTTCAGTACGAGAAGCCTGGGCCTCTGGGAAATTACCGAAAGCCTGCATTCTCCTTTTCTGGGTCCTCAGTGTTTATGCAGCGGGTCCTTGGATAATGTCGTTCCGCTCAGTGTTGTTTCATGATAACGTTGACGAGGTGTCGTAGGGACATAACTCTTGCTGATATCAATTGGCCTTTGGTAAAATTGGTTTCCTCATACATCGTTTTGCTTAAAGTTGCAGAATCTATCGATGTTAAGTGAAGATGCACTGTACTACACTTTGAAATGAGAACCAGCTTTCCTCAGTAACTATAAACCAGATCTCCTTCATTGTATGTAGATAGTTCAGCTGCTTGAATGAAGAAGGGAGACAGCAGAAAAGGCTTAAACTATTGGCTGAAATGAAGTATTTTGTTATTTTTATTTATGCCCCGTTTCCAAAATCATGGATAAACAATAGCTGATTGCCTCGCCTGGCAGCCGGAGCTCTGCTTTCTTGCACTTGGGGTCCCATCAATCCCATGTAATCTGGATTAGCAGTGAACAGTGAAATGTTTAATTTCTTCGCTACACTATAGCAAGAAGGGCAATCTCTCATTATCTTTGCTTGCTAGCAACTTCTCCAGAATCTGGGGTAGGTGGAGAAGTACATACAGGAAAAGGCTAGGGCAGACCAACTTTTGAAAGCTAGGACAAAGCACGCCAGTGTCCCACAGTTGTTACATTTTTGAATGGGGACCAGAATCTGGATCTTCTGAATCCTGGTCCAGTGTTCTTTCCTATACCATACTAGGTTTTAGTGGGCAAAAGCCGTAAACTGAGATGCTAGAATCTTTTCCAGCACAGATTGAATCTGGAAAACACTCACATCTTTGGCGTGTGCTTCCCTCAGCTCTAGATACCATCAGTGTCATATTAAGGGTACATTTATAGTAAACCTCAACTGGCCATGATTCTTCTTGTGATCATATACCTGGTTAGGTATCAAGATCACCTTAAGAAGCTTTAAAATACAAGTTCCCAGGTCCTGTCTCTAGAGATGATTTGGTAAGTTTGGGAGGGGCCTCAGAAAGTATTTTCATAAGCTTCCCAGGATTCCGTCCTTGTTCTAAAACCTTTTAAGGGACAACTAGGTTTAGAAAACATTGCCATAAACTACCTAAAAAGATTCAATGACTCTCAGAAGCTGTGAACAATTGTGGCATAGTTATGGGTGGCATGTGGGGACAGTGGAACACATGCCACTTGCAGTAAGTTTCTGTGCCCCCAAATCAAATCTCATTGGCTTTCATGTCAATTTGGTAACCCCGGACCCCTGTCTCACACTTTTAAAACATTTGTATTCTTTGTATAAGATTCAGGGGCCTCTGAGGATCACATTGACACACACATTAATAAGATGGAATGTTTGAAAGACAAGATGCCAAAAGTTTCCTGTCTCCTACAGCGTTTAAACAGAAGCTGTCGGTGGAGGTGCAGAGGGAAGATGGACTAGGTGACCACTAAGCCCCTTTGGACTTCAGATTGGGATTCTCTTTTCTCAAAGGGAGAATTGTCTGTGCAGGGATCCCTTCACCTTTAACAAAGAGTTGAACTGGGCTTCTCAAAATAACAAAGTAGGAAGCAGATCTCTAAAACAGAAGGTTCCAAACCGGAAGTGGTGGGTAGACAGGCCTGTTTATGGAAGCAGTGTGGTGTTCTTCACTGCCTTCCGTCACTGAGTTCCTACCCTTAAGTTTCCCGAGCCTGTGCATGCTGCATTGCGGCTAGCAGCCTTTCCTCTCAGGAGTCTGGAAAGCTCACCGGACTAGAACCAACAACCGCTGTCCTGTCCCCATTGTTGTTGCTGCTAGGACCAGTATCCCTTGTCCTTCCTGTGAGAAGCGGAGCTGCTGACCCCTATAATTCTGCCACTCAAAACAGCCCCAGAGTTCTGGGCCGGTAGGACCAGGTCCTCTACTTCTAGTCCAGTTTATTCTCCCATCTGCATTCCTTGTCTTCCTTGTTCTGCCACCACCTCCCATGGTGGAAACCAAAGATACACATTACCCACAACAAGAAGAGTTCACCTTTATTCTCATCCTCATGTCCACAGGCCTCTCTGTTTTTCATGTGGACAGCCTGAGCCTTTGGGTCACAGCCACTTTCTCCGTTGAGGATTTGGTCATAGTGGTTCCTGGAACAAGGCAGTTAGAACAACTTCTAAGTCTCTGCAACACCTATGCTACTGTTTCGTGCTTTGTGTCACCTCTGCAGAAAATGCAGTTTTGTGCCCAGCTCTGTGGGTACAGAGGTCAGAGCCTTTTCAAATCTTGAGATAGCTGATTCCAAGGATCCCAGACTCAAGACACCGGCTCGAAGCAAGACCTGGTTACCAGGACTTGGAAGAAGGCTGTGGAGCTTCGCTGCTCCTGCCGTGCCGGCAGGGGACAAGTCCAAAACTGGCGTGTAGGTCCAATCACTCCTGCGCGCCACAGCTCTTATTTCACAGTCTTTTCCCTTGATTTCTTCTGTTTCTTCTGCTCCTCATATTCAAGTATTTTCTGTTGGAAGTAGCCTGTGGGTTCAGATACAGGTTTAGAGGCATTGAACCTGGCCAGGACAAGTAAGATGAGCTCAGGAATGAGGGTCAGAAGTGTCCTGTCTGCTCCCCGTGCTCTCCTTGCTACACCCACATTCCTCCTGGGGGTCCCATGCCCTCACAGGCCTCTGGTAATCCAAGTATTTAATATGGCCCAAAAAGGGGCCTACAGACAAAGCATAGGAATCAGCTAGACTTGAAGAGCACCGGGCCTCTGGCTGGCTAATGAACAGAGCAACTTCTACGAAATGTCAGGCCAGAGGGCATTTTCTTAGGCTTCAGCTTATTTCAGCCCCACTAGTAAGATCATGGCTCTTTCGCGGGCCTCTAGAAGGAGATGCTCCTTCCTTCCCTCCTCATCCCAGCGCCACGCCTGACCTGGGGCGCACTGGCCCTCTCCGGGCTTAGGGGTCGTCACTGCGTACCTGCAGGAGGGTTCTTGCTCTTCTCAGCTTCCTGGATGAAAAGGGAGAAGAGCTGTGTCTTTACAAACTTCTTCACGAATCGGCGGTTGGCCTTGGAGTTCAGAGCCTTATAGAAGGCCCGTTCTTGGAAGTGGCCTTGCCCATTTGCTTCCCGTTTGATATAGGAAGCATAGTGACCCACAGTCTTGACAAAGAACTGCACAAAAGGGCCTGAAACGTGCTCGTTGATTTGTTCTGAAGCTGCAGGAGACATATAGAGGCCAACTCAGAGAGCAGCAGGATGAAACTACCCACTCTTACCTCCCTCCAAGTGGCCATGATTGCAGGCTGAATGCTCTGGGGAAGGGGATGGGGTAGGCTTCATCATTACTAACCGACTCATTAAAACGGGAGACTGGGTATGGGTTCTCCTCCATTGCTTAGGAAGAATTAAATCTCATGCTCAGACTTGCCCTAGAATCTAGGTCTGAGACCGGCCCAGGCCTGCCAAGTGGGTCCATTTTTGTTCGGGAAGGGAATGGCTGGGAATCATGCCCTCAAGGGGAAACCCAAAATAAGAGGGTCCTGGGACTTACTCTGCAAGTCATTGATCCCCTGACCAAGAGCATCTAAGATGTCATCTTGAAGCTTGGGTGGTAAGATGTCTTTTTCATCACCAACCTAGGAGAGGACAGAGGCCAGAGGTCAAGCAGTCAGCGAGGAGGTGTGAAGGCCGTGATAGAGGAGAAAGGCATGCATTCCGCACCCCTATGCCACCCCCAAATTAATAATCAGCCACATAGGAGAGAAACAGCCGAAGCTGGTTCTTGGACTTAGTTCGACTTGAAGCATCAGCAAGTCTCGTCTCTACCCCTGCGGCTCCCGGTTTATACCCTTGCTGTAAAGGCACCAACACTGATTGCCTTGTTGTGAAGTCATCTGTGTCCTGGTTTGTACAGAGCTCCTTGAGCAAGGATAGGTCTTGGTGGCATGAGTTTTCACTCAGCAAAAGTACTTAAGCTCGTTGACATAAGTGGAACATGGATGAAACTAGAGTGACTGAGTTGATGGTGGGCCTGCAGGGGGCTCTGAACCCAGATACTCACTGACATTAAGAAGGTTCCTTCACGAAGATTCACCAACAGGACCTGAAATAAACACAGAGTGTCTTTGTCACCTTCCCTTGCTTCACAGACCTCAAGAGGACTTACCACCTCCATTTCTGCCTGCAGCTGTACCTTTCTGCCCAAGTAGCAACACAAAATCAGCATCTTTAATTCTCATTTCCTATCTAACACTCCTTTCTCACCATTCCTCTCTTTGGAAATCTCAGTTCCCTTTCTAGGGAAAGGGTATGAGTGTGTAAGAAGGAGGATAAGGGAGGGGGGTAAGGTAGAAGGGGAACACATGGCCAGTCACTCCCTCAACTCAACACCGAGTAGAGTAATTGCTTCTATACATGGAACTCGTACATGGCGCACGCGATCATTGTTTTGCACACTTACTTAATCCTCCCAACAGCCCCCGTAGAGGCAGGCACTATCCCTATTTTGCAGGTGAGGAGACAGACTCAAAGAAGTTGCTTGAGTTCATACTGCTAGTTCCTGGACTTAGTTCGACTTGAAGCATCCAAGAACCATACTACAAATAGCAGAGCCAGCCTCCAAGCCCAGAATGCGCATCCCCAAGGTGGCACTCCCTGTACCCGCCTTCGACTTCCGCCCTCTAGTCAACTTTAGGACAGGAGTAGACATCTTCATGCTTGCAACAGCTTTATGTGCAGCTGCCTGGAGTTCTAGTCTAAAAACTCCCTCAGCTTTGGGCCTTCACACAGGAAAGAGCAAGAGAAGGAAATGAGCCCAGAGTCAACAGGAAGAGGGAAGGGAAGGCGGTGAGGAGACCATGTGTCTCCAGGCTACAGGTGAGACAGGCACGGGGCTGGAACCTGGGCACCCCGAGTTCCAGTACCAGCTCCCTCCCTGCCTGAGGGGCCTTCAGTCTATACCAGAGGCTACAAACAGGCATTCTGCTGGTTGGCATCCAACCTGCAGGTCTGTTTCTTCGATCCTTAGAGCATTTTTAAATAATGGAATTAGTTTCCAATATTTAAATTGGAAAGTTGCATGTAAAATTTGGATTTGGAGCTTCTGAAAACCGAGGGACTGACGCTGGTCCTCATTTCTAAAGGATAACATTCAGGGGGAGCCAAGTGCAGCCGCCGCTGAGCAGGGCAGGCGTGTGCTCGACCGTTCGCAGAACCTGTGTTGGTCACTGAAACGCTGGCTGGGCTCCTGTTTTCAGTTTGGACTCTTGGTCTTGACTATAGCGTGAATGATCTTTCCATGTTCTCTTCTTCCACATAAAAGGAAAGAGAGGGAACTGGAAAGTGTGCCAAAAGACAGAGCAGGCACTGTAATTATCCGTCAAGGGAGAAAAGTTGAACTAGTCCAGGCCTGAAACCACTTGCATACGTTGGCTCAGATGCCTTCACTCAGGGACGGCTGTTCACTTGGGGGTTGGGAGGTAAGAGTGTGTGTGAGAAGAACTGTTATGTTAAGTCGTTGCCCAAAATCTTTCTCGTGTTGGGGTACATTGCTGTTTATCAAGGAATCCCTTCTAGAGCATATACGGGGAGTCAGGGCACCCCCCACGCCTGCCCTGCCTCGTGCCCCGCCCCTTTCACAGAGCAGCCGCTGAAGAAGAAGACGGGCCAGGACTCTTGTATGGCAGGAGCTGCAGGCTGCTGGCCTTGGGGTGTCTTCCTGCCTGGCCATCGGCAGCGGGAGGAGCCACAGCTTCCGAGGAGCTGGAGCTACAGCGTCAGGAAGTTTCACAACTTCTAGGGTAGGGACGTTTTAAGTCTTATTGCTAAACACGGGGGCTGATACTCTGCCCCAGTTAGTCATGAGGCGAAGGCTCGTTCAAAGGGCGTGTGTACTCAGTGATTCTGAGGAGGGCTGGGAAGGCCAGGACGCAGGAAGGGACACACCTTCCTCTCCAACAGTGCTGTGTAATGAGGATTGAGCTGCTCCCTCTGCCGGGTTCCACCACTGCCTGTGTGGCCTCGGAAATGCCGAATTCCCGGGACCTCAGTTATTTCTTATGTAAATGGGGAAATCCTGCCATGAGGGCTGGTTCCATGCCTCTTTAGTAGTTTACTGCTAGCCTCCCCCCTTGGGTGGTCCTTCTCTGCACAGAGGGTGTCAGTGGTTAACCAGTCCAGAAATACATCTCTAAGTAGCTCTTCTCGCTTGAGATTATAGTAATGTGCTGTCTCTTGAAAGTTCCTACTGACAGCTCTAAGCAGAGCACATGTTTTGAGTTGTTCTTCCAACACTGGAGATAAGATTTATGCTATGAACACCCATTTTCACCACTGGGCCCTTTGGTGTGTCTGCGGCACTGTCAGGAAATAAGCTGACAGAATCAAAGGGCTGTGTCCTCAATTGTCAGCTGAGCTCTGAGCTAATCAGAAAGATGACTCTTGCTGCAAAAATCTGCATTTTCAAGGCTCCTACTTTTCAAGAGAGCTACCTTAGTTAGCTCACGGCCAAGGAATGAGAATGAATTCCAGTGGGGTGTGTGCTGTATAGACCAGTTGTGCTTATTCATTCAGATGAGATATGGGAGGCCCCAGAGCCTGCCCATAGGGGCTGACTGGCCTAGGACAGTTGGATGACCCCCACATAAGCTAGGTGCTGCTCCAAAAGGAAAATGCTCAGGAGGAGGGAGCTGACACTCACTGAGCATCGGCTCTGTGTCAGGCACCAGGCGAGGATCTTCATGCAGCAGGCGACTCCCCCTAGAATCCTTAGGAACGGAACACTGTCATCCCCATTTTACAGACGAAGCAGCTCGGGCTTAAAGAGGTAAGCAGCTTGACCCAGATCACACAGCTGTTAGCAGCAGAGCTGGGGGCCAGATCCAGGTCTGCCTGGCTCCACACTCTGCCTTCCTCTCGCTGCGTCTTACCTCCTCCATGGGGCTCTCCGTGACCTCCTGCAGAAAGCGCATCTGCACTCCAACCATGAAGGGGGTGGGGCAGCAGACCGTGGCCAGCAGGCTCTCGGGGACGACGGGGATGTAGGTGTGCGCCCAGCTGAAGGGGTAGAGCAGCGCAGCAGCAGCGTGGATGCACTGAGACAGGGTGCTGGGGACAGAGCACCGAGAACGAGAGTCAGAGCGGCCTCCCCGCGCCCCCAGCCCTGCACCCCGCCTGCCCACCACCAACGGCAGCTGCTGTGACTGCTTCCTGTGCAGATGCACACTCAAGTCTGGGAGCCACGCTGGTCACAGAGCTTGTGACTTCTAGCGGCTGGGAGGGGAGGGGCAGAAACCAGCAGAGGCTGCGGTTCCTCTCATCAAGGATGGGGCCTCTATTTGATCTTCCTTACCCAGTCAGTCATCTCAACTCACTAGCGGACAAAAATAAAAGTGGCTCCGAAGAGAGGAGGAAAGAAGAAATGCCTTCGCTGAAACCGATTATCGGTTGCGCTCCTGTATGCGCACCTCGGCGCTAAGGATGTGGATACGAGGCAGAGGAAGATGCTGACCCTGCTTAAGGAACTCACGGTGTAGTCAAGGAGACCAGCCCGTAAACACTGGGCGCAGCAGACAGGCGAACCGTTTTTCTCCTTATGTCTATCCACCCTCCTGCCCAGTCTTTACATCTCACGGCTCCCTCTGGCCATGAGAGGTTAAAAGTTACCAGGTTGGCGCCTGAGTTTGCTTGGGAAATTCCTGGATTCCAGGAACCCCTGCCCAGCAATTCCTACCCGGAAAGTCCCACGGAGGTGCCTCCTCTCCCATTTCCAGTGAGGCATCCCCGGTGTGACCCTCGCCTCAGTCCCAGCTCTGGCCCAGCTCCTCCCCCCTGCACAGCAGCACGACCCTTCTCTCTGTCTTCTCTGTTCTCCACGAGCGTCCCCTGCTCTTCATTTCTCCAGGCTGCCCCCAGACCAAGGCCAGTGAAAACACATGCGGAAACCTTGTTCCAATTCTCGGTATCAAGCTAGCGCTTCCTGAGTGGGAAACATCGAGCCTCTGAGAGTCTAGCCAAGGCCTAGGCTGACTGGAAGTCCCCTCCCTGCCAGCAATTCGGAGATCTGATAAACTCCATCTGGGAAGGAAGTGGGGAGTGGAGGGATCTCCCTAGAGAATGCTAATGCCTGAGAGGTAAGTCCTGCCAGCCTCTGCCCATGTCCCGACCAGCTGACACCTGGAGCCGCCTTCACTTTCAAAGCGCCGATGTTAGGGGAAAGGCCCAGAATCCTAGCTCTCGACACACAGGAGCTTCTCATTTCCCTGCAGGGCTGGGAGTGGAGGAGCTCTTCCCAGAGCAAAAGCTTACACCACTTCCCTCCACGATTAGCCTATTTGTTGCCACTGGTTTTATAGAATTTTCAACCCACAGAGCCCACTGCCTGCCCAAGCTTCCTTTCCTCTAAAACCCACAGCATTCACCTGACCCTCTGGCCTAACATTCGGTTGCCCTACAGCCTTTTCTTCCTCTTCCCTAAGATACAGAACCAAGGTTGTCAGCCCAATATTGGCTTTCTCCCTCCCCCGGACGTGACTAGAAGGCCAACCTCCCACTGTTCGGATATTTTTTTCCTTCTCTCATTTTATCACGTATCATCTCCCTCTGACTTTCTCAGATTCGAAGTCTCTAAGAGGTAGAGACCAAGACATGACAGCTACACACAGGGATCAACTCAGCTGTGAACATCTTATAAAGAACAACCTAGCGCTTACCAAGACTGCCTGGTAGGGTGCTAAGTGCCAAAGGTGCATTATTTCATTTAATCCTCACCACACTCTTATGAGGTCGATGCAATACATTTCTCCATTTTACAGATAAGGGGAGCATGACTTCAAGAAGTTAAGAAACTAACCTAAGGGGAACCACGTAAGGAAAGATGGAAGGTCAGGACTCGAGCCTCATTCCGCTCATTTCAACACCGATGCTTTCAACCACTGCAGAATTCTGCAGCCCCTGAGGTCAAAGACTATGTCTTGTTTGTCTATATCTTCCCGATGCTTGGCAAACAGCTGACACACGATAAATGTTTGTTGAATGAGTAAGTGGATAGATGAGATGTGTTTGCCATTAAGGATGATGGGCTTGACCTCCATACCATTATACTCCTTCCTGCCCTGTCCTCGCCCTCTCTCCCTCCCTCAGCCTTGCACGAGCAGAATCCTATCAGCATCTGCCCTGACTTCTCGGCCTGGGCTGTCCCGGGATCACATCATACCCTTCTCAGAGCTAAATCAGAAACCTTCCTCGACCTTAGGCAGCAATCACGTTGAGAGGCAGAAGCAGGGGAGCCGGAACAGCTTCCTTGAGAGGTTTAGCGCAGACCGAGACCCAGAGGTGGGAGGGCGAGGACACGGGTCCTACAGCCTGATTTCCTTCAAGGACCCTCCAGCTGTCCCGTTGTACCCAGGGAAGCCAGTCAGTCCAGGTCGGCTGCTCAGCGACTGGACCCACCTGAGATCTTCAGCCAGGAAGATGAGTCTTCTCTCCAGCACTGCGGAGGCAAAGATCTGAACAATCTGTTCGAGACTGAGACACTGCAACAGAGAATTAAAATCCACGTGTTCTAGGTGGGAGTCCAGGGGCCGTGTCAGCGAGATGAACTGTGGGGAAACCAGAGAGAGAGGGTGTCACCACAGAGGCAGCACACAGACCCGAGTGCCGGGACTCTGCCGGCCTCCGCTCCGTTCTCCCCACAGGAGTAAATCTGATCCCGTCTCTCCCCTGCTAAACACCCAACCTCGGTTTCCTTTCGTTTGGGGATAACACCGATGTTGTCATCCCGGCATAAGCCGCAACGTCCTGCCTCCCTCGCTGCCCTCGCGGAGCCCACTCCACCTCCCTCCCCACGCCGCCTCCTTCCTGGCCCCCAGCGCGCGCACTCTCCCCGGCCCGAGGTCCTCGGCTGGCGAGGCCTCCACGGGGCGCTCTTCCCCTTGGCTCTCGTCCTCATGCCAGTCTCCGAGGCCTTCTCTGGTCACCTGGCACTGTAGGTGTTTTCTGCCATTTCTCACGCAGCGTACGATTTTTTTCCCCTTTCGTCACGATCATTCGACTTTTAATTATATATTTATCTGTTTGTTTGCTTATTTCACGTCTGTTTCCCCCACTAGACTTTTAGCTCCATGACGTCAGGGACCATGTTCCTTTTATTCACCACTTCATATCCAGAAAATAGTCAAGCTTGGCGCCTAGCGAACATTCCATACTTATCTTTTGAGTAAGTGAAAAGGCCCAGCCCCTCCCCGGATTTTTATATGGGGGAGCCAAGGTTCAGAGGGACACGGATTCTCCAGAGGACCGGGGGTCAGCACTGGAATTCTTAAAACAATGTTCTACTTGCTGCTTTGTCTGCTCAGTGCCTTAAAACAATAGCATCCCCATGAGGCATGGGTGGGGACTCAGGGTGGATGAGTGATAAGAAAGAGACAGGTGGAGGCCACAGTACTGATGTGGACAGCCACAGGAGGATGAGGGTGGGGTGTGGGGGCAAGTGGCAGTTTGGGGGCTGGAGGCAAAGTCCCTTCTAGCACCAGGAACCTTAGCCTACATGGTTTATTTATTATAAATACAAGTCTTGGTGGTTTGAACAGTGACTAGGTCCCTGTAAACATCAGGTTGGGAGGATCAGAAGATTTGGGGTCTGATTTTCAGCTCCGCCAGTAATTCAAGCCAAGATCCAGCCCCTGCCCGACTCAGTTTCCCCATATGTTAACTCAGTGAATCGAAGGGCTGATAAGAAGCCTGCCTCTTCCAGCCAGGGAGTGTCTCCCCCGTTTTGCTAACCCACCTCAGTGCCTGAGTCGGGGATGAAGCTCTTAAGGGTGACAGTCTTCCCAGGAGCGGGAAAGGCCGCCTCTCGGAGGCCCTGCATGAACGGGTAAATGACTGCCATGGAGATCTGGTGTCTCTTCTCCACTTCATCCAGGATCTGCACGGAAAAGGACCACAGGAGGCATGGCACAAAGAGAAGCCGCTGGGCGAGGGGCAGAGACCCCGTGTGTGAGGCTCTGCATGGGTCCAGCCAGTCCTCACGTGACTTCTAGCCCCTCCACCAGCTGGTTCTCTCCTTCCGGTCTGCTGCTTATCTCCTGAGACCGGTCTGCTGCTTATCTCCTGCTTTTCCCTAGCCTTCTCTTCACCCTCTCCCCACCAATCCATGTTCTTCTCTTCTCCAAACATCAGCATAAACTACCTGCCCCACAGAGTCATCCCAGAGTAAACCCATCATCCATGATGGTCCATGGTCACTCGTGCCGGTTGGAGTGTGAGCCAAGAAGCCTGGGCCTCTTGGCTGCCACTCTGCCCTCCAACTTCCACTGAGGACTCCCCAAGGCCAGAGGCAGCCTTCGTCCCTCAGAGCCCCACACAGATGAACACTTCCCCCAAGCAAAGGCTGATGGAGTTTCCTGCCTTCATCTTCCAAGGGGCCTGCTGCCGGAGTTGGGGACAGAGCACACCAAAGCCCTTTTCGTGGCCACCACGACAATCCCCATCCCTTCCGAGGGACCTCTCTCGGAGTCTGACTCAGATGTACTGGCTCGCAGATGAACTCCAGCAGAAGTCCCAGAACCCTCACCTTCCCTTCTGCCCTGGAAGGAGTCCCCTCCGACATTGCGTAATAATTATCTCCACATTTCTTCAAAGCTCTGCCTTTCTCACAGGTCACCTCACACCAACCCATGAGCTAGAAAGGTGTGGGACCATTATATGCATTTGACAAAGAAACTGAAACTCCTGATTCCTAACCTGGGCTCCGCCCCCTGTCCTGATCCAGCTGCTTTCCCGCCTGGCTGGAGTCACACCGAGACGGTACCTTAGGTTCAGTTCCCACTTTTCTCTAAAACCAAGTGGAGCCCAAGACCCTGTCTGCCACATTTTACCCATGTGTGGCTCGGCTGACACTGGCTGTAAAGGGAAAGCCCCACCACGGGCTCAGGAAACCCGGGCAGCCAGGAAGACCTGGGACCTGGGGAATCCCGCCCCGCCCCGCCCCTACCTTGGAGAACAAGCCGAAGCAGCCGACACAGCTGATGATGCAGTACACCTTGGGGAGGCGAGGGCCGGGGCCGGCGGGCTGCGGGGACACAATGGTTCGGTCAGCGCTGCAGCCTCCCCAGAACCTTCACCCAGCTGGGGCTGACAGGGCATCAAGCTGGTGTCTGGGGCTGGGGATTCATGGTGAAGAGTGGGCTGGGTGGAGAAAGGCCTGGCTGGACAGCGGTCCCGTTCATGGGACAGGCAGCAGGGAGGCCAGAGCGACCACCAAAGTCAAAAGAAGATGGCCTTGACGGGGCTGGTGGGCTCGCCGGCGGGCACTGCCACCAACTGGGGTCAGCAAAGAGAGGGGGCAGAGATGAGGAAATGACGAGGGAGGAGGGCACTGTGAAAGTGACTCCGAGAATCCTGGGAGCCGAGGATAGCCTTTACATCCCAGTCCGTGACCTGGGAGGCTCCCGGGGCCACGGCACTACGGCCTGGATTGAGAAGGCAGAGAGGATCAGGTCGGAGGCTCCCTCGGAGGGGAGCTGTCGAAAGCTGGGGAGAGCAAAGACCGAAGCGTGGAGAGCGAGGTCCCTGGGGTGGGCGAGGAGAGGCGTGTGTCCCCGTTCTGGCGGGGTTGCAGAGGGCACTAACATGGCAGCTGGTGCTGGGCTGTGCGCTCTCTACAACCACCACTGCCAGGGAGGCTGGGCTTTTGCAGCTGAGGCTTGAGTGAGCCCAGCTGTGGAGCCGAGAAGGCCGCAGAGAGGAGGGGGCGGTTCTGAACTGCACAGACCAAGAGGCGCCTGCAGTATCCAATCTTCCTGCTCCCGTCCACATTGGTCAGAACGAAGGAGAAGGTCTCCCTGAGGAAGAGCAGACAAGGTTTGCATTTGCTCACTAGACTCTAGACCAGGAAGGCGGTCAGCCTCAGGGGGCGCTCAGGGGGCTGCAAAGGGCCAAGGGAGCTGCAGATTAGTCGTGAGAATAATAACACCAGCGATTTATTAAGTGCTTATTGGTGCCAAGCTCTAAACGCCTCATCTTATTTCATTCTCAAAACAACCTTTTGAGGTAGATTCAATTATCCCCACTTCGAAGATGAAGGATCTGAGGCTGGGAACGTGTTTCTGTCCAAGGTCATTCAACTCATAAGTGGTGAAGACAAAATTCAGACTCGGGCAGTTGAAATGCGGGGCTCGTGCTGTCGGGACTTTGCCATGTTACCTTCTCAGAGCCCGAGGGCCTTCTCCTGAGTCCAGAGTCTGCCAGTGACAGAGTCAAAACCCAGAGCCGATCCTTTCTAGCACAGAGGGAACCGGTTAACTCAATTAGCTAAGTTCCTTGGCCTCGAGGGCCCCCAGCCAACATGTTGATAATGAATCAACTGAGTCCCTCCAGGTCATGAGAAAAGCTGGGGAGGAACTGGCGTGCACACCCAGCGAGGAGGTGCGAGGGGGCCACACGGCTCCCGCTGGTCTTTCTCCCCCAGTCCCAGAGTCCGTCCGGGGGTGAGGGGAGGGGGGTGAGCAGTGGGCAGTTACCTGGGATACTCAGTGAGGGGCGCCCACTCGTTCCCATCTGGGAAACAAAACAAGGGGATGGCGCTAAGCAGCCGCTCCTCCTCCTCCTGCTGGCCCCGAAGCAGGTTCTCCCGCTGTAAGGAACAGGGAGAGACACGTGGGTGCTGCAGGTAGGGGCAGGCGGGAGAGGGCTGGAGGGCTGGCACGCTTCCACTGAGCCGCTAAAGCAGTCTGAGACAAAGCTTTGCCACCGGCATGGGGTCAAAGGGTGCCTCTGCCTGTCACTCTGCACTGGGATTTCATCCCGGGTCTGGAAGGAACGACCGCCAAGGCTAAAGCGGCCCCTCCTGGGCCACGTCTACATGACCCTGAGTTAGACTTCAGCCTCCTGAGGATCTACATAGTCAGGAAGGGGGCCAGGGCCACACTGAAGACAGAAAGGCAGGCAGAGCACCCGGCTTCCTGTGAGGCCCGCATGAGAGAAGGGAAGCAGCACAGCTGCCTCCCCCTCAGGATTAGTGAGAAGGAAGCCCTGTCCCTGCCCCATTGCCCAGTATGGGAGCCGACTGGGGCCTGATACATTTGCTGTAGCCACAGGCTGAGCCTGGCCACCAGCTGTAAGCCCTGCCACCCTGTCCTTCCCGCCCATCCCAGGGAGGCGATTCCTGCAAAGGAAGCTTCTCTCCAGAGAAGGGTGACTGGGGATGGAATCTGGAATAACCAGGAGGTCCCTAAAGGGACATAAGAACTAGCCCAGTTTCCCAGCGAGGGAGCCTAGGTCAGCATCTCACAGAAAAGAAGCCAGACCTAGATTCTGTGGGTGATAACAGAACACGGGGCAGGCCTGCAGGAAATGGGAGCGGCGGGCTCAGGGCAGCTCTAGACTCAGACTCTGGCAAGGCGGGGAGACTGAGCGGGCACCCCCACCACCCCCACCCCGCTGCCTCTCAAACACGGCATCTCCTGTCTCCCCCTGCCCCCGCCTTCAGTCCTCACCTTGGGAAACTGGTAGGTGATCGTGGGCTCATAATCCTCCCCTGATCGCCGTTTTTTTAAGGAGACAACGAGGAGGTATTCGAAGAAATGCTGTCCTCCAGCAAAATTGGTCAGACAGTGCTCCTGGGCCCTTTCTGACTCCTTGGCAGCTTCTTCCGAATTGTCCTGGGCAGATCCTGAAACAGAGGCACAGGGCCCATCGGTATCGCATCGATCCATGCCCTGAGTGGCCTCTGTGAGGCTCCAGGCAACTTCCGCACCTCAAGGCCACCCTGCCAACGCCAACGTGGAGTTTCCCGGAGCCTGCCCAGCACCTCAGGTCCTGGAACAGGACCAGAGCCAACCGGGCAGTTTCCATGCCTGCCCCGGGAGATGTGAAACCACGGGGAGAAAAGAAGAGAAAAGAAACCACTGGTCTGGAAGCCAAGGAAATGTACTGGAAAGGCCGCCTGGGAGGCCCTATGCCCCAGGGTACCACGGAGGCTCCACCTACCCACAGGGTGCTCAGGACGTACCCAAAACAGTGTGCCCTGCCCAGACCTGGGCTCACGAAACCAGAACAGGCACGAGGGCCATGTGGCTGTGACCACGCCAACCCCCACGGAGGGGAAACCTCCCGGCCCGGTCACGTGGGGGACGAGGTGGAAGTCAAGATATAAAGGAAGAGAAAAAAAGCATTTCAAGGAAGAAACAGCCCCATCAATGAGCGTGACCCTGGAAAGAAGGAAGTGGGTAATCCAGTCCAGACCTGCTCGGAGTCGAGGCACCCATTTCTGGAACAGCCTGAGCATCCCGCCTCTCACTGGTCCTTCCCTCTTCTCGGGCCTGTGGGGCATGGAGCGCTACCCTTTCCTCCAACGCGAACTGGCTACAGAAAGCCTGAGAAAGGGGCTGCCGCTTCAGTGTCCAACCACAGCTCGATGAAGCCGAGCCCCGCGCTGTCTTCCAAACAAGAGAGAGCAGTTTCCATCCTGTGCAGCCGATGGTTGAGCAAGAAGGATGTGACGGGACCCAGGAAGGCAGCCGAATGCCCGTAGTGACAGAGGCAGCATCCTGGCACTGCAGCTCAGACCTCAGCTCCTCCCAAGAGCCCCAGGGTGTGGTGAGACAAAAGGTCACGAGCAAACATCTCCAAGGCCCAGCTGCTCCTGGGCTAAGGGCTTTGAATTCTGGGCGGCAGATTATACAACAGGTTGATTCACAACCTCAGGAAAGTGAAGAACGCCTGATAGCATCAGACTGTGGGTACTGGAACCTGGCTGGGCCCAGGACAGGGATCTTACATCCCCGTAACTTTGATTCTTGCCCTTTCAATTCTCAACCTGTTCAACAGCAGCCAAAAGCCCCTGCAAGGCCACCTGTCACACACTGGGACTTCCAGGATTTCAGGGCTGCAAGCAAGAGCACAGGACCAAACATTTCGCTTTCCCTGATCAAGATCAGTAGACTTGGCCCATTAATGATCTAAAAGGAGAAATTATTCTAGCAAGAAGGAATCTTGGAAATCAAGGCAAACCTAAAAGCCTCCTCTCCTGGTGGTGAAGCAGAGGGCAAAGTCCATCTCTGAGCTGGAGAGTTCCTGATATTTCAGGAGAATTACAATGGCGTACCTCTCACCCCTGCAAAATGTCCTAAGACAGACTTCTCTCAATGGGACCAGTTCCAGGGCTCCAGCAAAGACTCCCCCTTGCAAATAGGAAGCACCGAATCAGGACATTCTCCCTGGCCTACAGTAGGGGACTGGTTGCATCAGCAGCCTGAGGGTCACTCAGTGGCAGTGGAAAGCATCCAGGTGATCTCCACTCCACCCTCATTTCTGCTCAGTCTTTTTTCCCTGTTCCCCTAGTTCAACAGTTCTGCCCAAACTAAGGGAAAAGCAGCTTGCCTCTGGGGCTCCAGTGGTGTCTGGAGCCGGGGAAAGAGAGAAAGAATAGCCCTAAATTCTCACATAAACCCTTGAGTGAGTGAAACCACAGGGTAAGAGAGAAGGACTTTGGCCATGAAGCTGTGCCTACGAGGAGCCAGGAGGCAACAGGGTTTGGTGCCAGTGTTTGCCACTCCTGCAAAGAATTAGCAGCCCCCTGGAAAAAAGTGGGGCACTAAAATAGTGGAAACGGCTGCCTTGCTCTTTAGAGCTTCAGATCTGGCTTTCGTGGGACTGGTAAAAACCAGCACTCAGTGGCCCAGCCATGACTCCTGGGGAGAACCCCCATCACAGTAAATAAGGATGTTACGAATGCTATGATGGTGAGAACAGTCAGTGACCCGGAACACTCAGAGCTGTTACCACACCTTGCTTGCAACCTGCACAGACTTGTTGCACAATCCTCACCACCTGCCTGATGAACAACCATCTTCCTAACACAGGTGGGGAAACTGAGGCACAGAGTAATTCAGGGACTAACAGAATCTGTTGGGGGTGGGAATTATGAGAGTTCTATGCCATGCTCCTGCCTTCTGGAAGTAGGACACACCAAACATCCCACAAATGTGGGATGCCTCCTGTTTGCAAAGGACTTTGAGACCAAAATCTTTCGCTGACTATTCCAGAACCTCAGGAAATTATTCCTTTCCCTAAATCCCTTAAGTTGCAATTTACAGCCCATTTCCTCCTGCTTTATCAGGAGAGCCAAGAGAACAACAAAACTCACAAACTCAAACAAAAAAAAAAAGTTACTTCACTTTTGGATTGAGGCCCAAGTAGTCCAGAAAAAGATTGCTATCTCCTACCTTTCAAAGGGGGTTATCAGCAGAAGACAAAACATCCATCAAACACATGTATTTCATATAGGTCATCTCATTTAATTCCCAGTGCCCTAGAAAGGAATTATTATCCTGGGTTTTAAATTAAGGAGGGAGCCACCCTTTCTCAGGAAGTCAGGAGTCTGGTTACACTTGTTCTTCCACTAGGAAGCTCCACCCACAGCCACCTGGGGAAAGCCCCAGAACAGGTTAGAATATAGGTGAGGGGAGTTTCTGGAACCTTGATGTAGAAAGCCGGCCCTTCCTTTTCTAACTCAGCTGCTCTCAACCCAGGATGACCACTGCCACACCTCCCCACCAGAGTAAGTTATGCCTGCAAATACACACATACACACACACGCCCCCTCCTATCACGCAACTGCCCTATAGCCAAAAGGGCCAAAGAAGGGGAAGGGACTCCCCAGGACATGGAGGACAGGCAGAAGGTATAAAGAGAGCACACTCTCCTGGCCTGACAGGTGCCAGACCTCAGGACAGGTAATACTGGCTGCTCATCTTCCAGTCCTTCCATGTCCGGGAAGCTCCGGGCACAATCGTCAGCCTAGTTTGGGGCCACGGTGGGTGGAGACAACTGGATTGTCATCTCCAGGCTGCAGGAAACAGACCCTTAAATTCACAAGGAATCCTCAGGGTTGAGCGAGACCAGGAAAGACCAGGACAGGGCTCTCCAGAGAGGAGAGGACACCAGCCTCACCCCACAGTCCCAGGCCTCTGTCTCCTCCACACATGGTCTCTGACCTCTCTGCCTTGGTGGGGTGGAATGACCGGATACTGGAACCCCATGTTTAGGGAGAAGAGCAAAGGCTGAAGGTGGAGGGTAGGTCTGTTGGCAGAAGGAGCACTGATCTCTCTCCCAGGGCTCCCCAACTCTGGGGCTTGGGGTGGGGTAGGGGTCTCACGCAACTTTTTGACTTTCCATTGTTAGGACGGGTGTGCTGTCTGGGAACCAGCCCTGCTTACTGTCCCGCTGGCTTTCTCTTCAGAAGGTGGGACCTCTGGGCAAGCAGTTGAGGGGTATTGCTACTCAGCCATAGGTCTGGCCAGTGAGAAGCAGCAATAAATGTTTGTTGAATGAATAAAATGAGTGAATTTCTAATTGTCTTCCTTCCAAAGCCCCTCCTAAGAGAGAGACTGAATATTGACTACGAACTAATAACCACAGTCCTGAACTGGAGGAATTATTCTCACCCCACGGGTGGGGGTGTAGGGGGGCGTGCGTCTCGTGGTTCACACATTCTAAGGAAGCAGCTCAGCAGGTGCCACCCCAGCTCTGCTAGTGACCACAGACTCCAGGGCCCTTTGATGCCCTTGGGCGGGGGTGGCACGTCGTCAGGGAGACCAGTTATTCTGGCCTGTGGCTATTTGCGGCGCAGCGGGAAGTCGCCAAGTGGCCTATCCCAGCGGGGCAGGCCGGGGCGGGGCGGCGGGCACCCCGGAGCTGAGGCGGGGTGCGGGAGGGCGCTCCAGGCACACTGCAGTTGCACCGCAAGCTTCCTGACTGGAATAACACGTGGTACCGGGGCCCCACAACCGTTTCCTTTGCCCGGCCGCCTGCTCCTGACCCCTGCTGGCCTGGCCGCTCATCTGACCTCCGACCCCGTCCCCACTTGGTCCTGTCCACCCCTACCTGCGCCTCTCTCCTCTCACCTGAGCCCTGCCCTGTCCTCTCAAATGCCCGGCGGACTTCTCCCGGATCCCGACTCCCCGCGCCGCGCTCCCCGGCCCCTGGCGCGGTCAGCCTCGTGTGCTGGCCCCAGTCCCCGCGCTGCCCTTGAGCCCCAGCGCCCCAGCCCGGCACTAACCCCCACGGCCGCGCTTCAGTCTCAGGCTGGCTCGGAGGCGGCGGCCGAGCCCATCCATGGCCCCTCCAGTGCCCCGCGCCGGCTCCCGGGTCCGCGACGGCCCCGCCCCCCGGTGCCCGACCTCCTCGCGCCCGACACTTTCGCTTTCACGCGGGGGGAGGCCGAGGGGACCCGCCCGGGGCGGGGCGGGGCGGCGCACCTTCCGGACTCGGCCCAATCCCCGGCGCACCTGGGCGGGCCGGCGCGTCCCTCAACCACCGCGGGAGCCCGTGGGGTGACAGAGGGCGCTCGACGCGAGTCCGGGAGGGGTGGCGCCACTTCGCTCCCACCCTCCGTGGGGCGCCCCGGGAAGCTTGCCTTTCCGTACCCCGCAGTCCTGAAACGCGCGGACTTCTCGCCAAGTCACCCCCCTACCTCCGGGGTACTGGATGGGGGTGCCCTGAGGGGGCGCACCGTCCAGGTGGCCGCGACCTTACCCCAGATGGGGATAGAGTTTTCAGAGTCGCCACACCTTTCCGGCCCCTCCATCTCTCCCCCTGCAACTGCTTCAGCCTCTCGCCAGTGCCAGATCCTTTGCTGTGTTTGTCCTTCCACCCACGGGGCACGTTGCCTCATTCTATTCCCGGTTCCACTTCCCCAACGAGCCGGAGGGAACCTAGGGGAGCCGTATGGGCTCCTGAGGAGGGAGAAGAGATGTGGCTCGGGTCCTCATCCTGTCTCCTTTCGGAGTGTGTGTGTGTGTGTGTGTGTGTGTGTGGTGCGTAAGGTTTTGAATGGTAACATTGGTGAATAACATCGTATAAAGGTCAGGTGTACAACCTTATAATACGACATGTATATATACTCTACTGTGTTCTCACCACCCGAAGTCTAGTCTCTTTCCATCACCACATGGTTGATCCCCTTCCCCCTCCTCCCCTCTGGCAGCCGCCTTCTGTCCTCTGTATCTTCCTAGGAGTTTGGTGTTTTGTTTCTTTTCTCCTTCAACAGATGATTGGTAAAGATGCGACATATATATATATATACAATGGAATATTACTCAGCTATGAAAAGATGAAATCTTGCCATTTGGGACAACGTGGGTGGAATTTGAGAGTATTATGCTAAGGGAAATAAGTCAGACAGAAAAGGACAAGAACTGTATGATTTCATTGATATATGGGATATAAAACAAAAAGCAATGAACATCTACTGTGTTCTTGGGCAGATGAGCAAAATGAGGATAAAGCCTTGTCCTCCTTCCCCACCCCCACAAAGATATGAAAATTAAGGAACAGAAAGCTCTTTGTAAACTCTTATGCGTTACAAATTTAAGGGATGATGATGACGACGGACGACGACGATGATGATGATGATAGTTGCAGATATCCACACTTCCTGTCTTCTAATCCCAAATCTCAGTCCAGCTTTTCAGACCCTCCTCCACCCTTCTCACCTTCACTGGCTTCCAAACATGCCCCGACTTCAAGCTTCATTTGTCAGATGAGTATCTACATCTGATAAGCCTCAATTGTTCCCTGAGGATCTATCCTGGCCCCCGCTCCCAGGACCAGCATCTGTAGGGGTGGGAAGAGTACAGAGTCCTTCTGAAGTTTCTTCTTTCAGAGAGGTTTTAGCCTCAGTTTCAGGCATGGGAGGCAGAGAGAAGAAGACACTCTGGCAAAAAGATATCTAGGATCTATAGATATGACCGCCTGACCTACAGCTCCCTTCCCTCTCCCATGCATGGGTGAGCGGGAGTGAGGAATCCAGCCCTGGAATTAAACTGTCTGGTTTCGTCTGGTTTTAGTCCAGAGATTCTAAAAGTCACCTCTACTCTGGGCCTATGCAATTCTGTACTTAATTACACAGTCTGTTTCTGTTCCCTGTTCCCCGTGTAATCCCCCGTGCAAGGACACATCTCTTCCCCAGGCACCTTCTCTTGGCTGCACCTATGTCTTTTGCATTTCTGTGTAAGTTTAGAAATTGTTCACGATAAACTTGTCCAATTTGGTTGAATATTACTGTGCCTTAATTTTCTCAAACTATTTTATGGTGGTCCCAACCAAACTACTTCCTTCTTTTAAAAACCTATGAAGAAGTATGTGCACACGTGCACCAAAAATACGTGTACGAGAATGATTATGGAAGTCTATTTGAAATAGCTTCAGACTGGAAATAACCTGAAATGTCCATGAGCAGTGAAACGGATGAATTGAGGTGTCTTCTTACAATGGAGCACTATACAGCCGTAAAAATGAACAAACTACTGCTACATACAATGACAGTTAATTCACACAAACATAATGTTGAGCAAAAAAAGCCAGACACAAAAGAGTACATAATGTACGATTCCATTTACATAAGTTAAAAATATGTAAATCGAATATATGGTATGAAGAGTCAGGATGATGTTAGATTTAGGGAGGAAGGAAGAAGTAATCGGGCTTCTGGATGCTGGTTATGTTCTATTTCACCTGGTGGCAGATACATAGGCGTGTTCACTATGTGATCATTCTTTGCACTGTACATTTCTGTGCATTTTCCTGTATACATATGAGACTTTAATTTCAAAAAAATAAAAAATATATGTTCATTAGGATGTTGGGATGACATAAATGAAGATTTAAGCTAATTGAGAATGAATTCAGAAATTATTGGGATGTACGGAAGTAGAGTTAAATAATTTTTTTTTGAGAAGTGTGCATAACAATAGGAAAAATGTTCATTGGTCCATAATGAGAGGGGGATTTGAGTTTCAAGCGGTGGGTTATGATGGAAAAGATTAGATCGTATTTATGGGCATTAGAGGTAGGGAACCAGCAGGGATGAGATGTAAAGTACAAGAAAAAGCGGCAGGTGAAACAAGGTTTGAGTGGAGGGAAGAAGGTGGAAGGCAGGGCCTTGGGTATAGATGTTGATTAATTTGTAGATGAGGAAGTAGGAAGTTAAAGGATCGAAAAAGAGGCCGTCGTTTTTGCTAAGAGAAAAGGGTTTTTTCTTCTTATAGCTTCCACCTCCCACTGTACCCAGAGTCTGGCTGTGAGTGGAAGAAAATGGTGCCAGCCCTCCTTTCTTGAAGATTTTGAAGAGAGTCCACAGATAAGTTTTATTCAGGGAGAGAGCGTGGCATAACAGGATGACCTTGGGTGCACGGAGCCTCCCTCTCCTGAGATGATTAAATCACCTTGCAAGGTGGTTATGAGCCCTAGAAAAAATAGACTTGTAATCCAAATGTCCAAACTTCACACATCTCTTTAATGCCCAGGTCACTGTAGTCTCAACTTCATCTCTTTGAATGGCGGAAGTACTGTCTATTACTGGGCTCCCGTTTCCAGATATTTCTGAGAAACCCTTAAGATGTGCTTACGTGCTCCACAGGTCAATTCTGGTAGTTGCTTGTCATCAGTCTGTCATGGGGCTCCAAACTATCACTTCCTCCTCCTATAGTTCCTCCCATTTGTCTCAGGACAGACCGCTACTGCTCTGCTCTGTGCCACTTTGCTCAACCTGGACCCTGTCTCTAATTCCATACAGAATAGCTAAGGTCAGGAAATAATGTTCGTGACGACTTTGCTGAAGGCTTTGTGATAAGAGAAGGACATTACGAGAGAGAACAGTAGAAATAAGTATTTCTGCTCTTGGGGTGGATCTGCAGAGGGGTCCCTCCCCTGGACACTTGTCTGCCTGCCACCAGGCCTGCGCCAGGTTGCAGGGACCAGCTGCCCCGACTGCCGTGGAAATGCTCGAGTCAGTATTCATATGTTCCAGAATGACTGACAATGGTAATGTTTATTATATTCAGGGGAGGACCGTGTTTCATGCACAGGATGTGATCTTGTCCTTTGGCGTAAAAACACCAGGATGACCATAAAAACAACAACACTATCGATGGTGCTGTATATGTCCAATAGTGTTGTATCCATTCTCTCTGTAGCTTAAGGTGAACAGAGCTCAACTATCTATCCTTCAAGGTACCTTGGGATCTTGACTTCCGATCTCCTGTGATGAATGACTTGGACAACAAACATATGTCTGCCAGGAGTAAGCAATAATGGCCAGGAGTAGGAAGGAACATCTAAGTGTTGGAAACAAAGATGACCTTTTACTTCACCACGAAGAGCTCCTGGAGCCAAAGCTCTCAAATCTCTCTCCTCTAGACAAAGTCTCTACTCTATAGCTGAATAATCTTGACTGAACCCTGACACCCCTACCCCACATTTAAATCAGATCCTTCTGTTACAACCTCAAATCATACCATTTCCTTTGTTTTTTTAAAAGCGCTTATAAAGATTTGTAGTTACACATTTCTTTCTGAGATTAATCATTCGACTACTCTCTCCCTTTCTAGTCATCCCCAGGAAGCGTGGATTATATCATGTCTTTTTTGCTCCCTCATCTCTGTGTGTCTATGCCTGGCACTGTGCTAGAATTTGAAAGTACCTTTTTGGCACTATTTAGGGCTTTGGGCAACTGATAGGCATCACCAATTTCCTTACAAGCATCTGATTAATGCTATTTGTTGGACAGATACAAATAAATCCCTAGGACTATGACTGTAGCATTAGCACACAGCCAACACGTAGTTGTTGAACTGCACTACATTACTCACACCTGGAAGACACTTAGGAATTTCCCGGTTCTCCTTGGCTGTTCACTGAATAGGGACAGAAAGCTCCATGAATTGAGCTCTCTGCATGTCCAGGCGCTAGGCTAAACATTTTGGAAACATTTCAAATCAACATTACCAATAATCCTTTAAGTAGGTATTACTATCCCCGCTCTATAGATGAAGAAACAGGCTCAGAGATGTTAAGAAACTTGCCCAAAGTCACAAAGCAGATAAAGTGAACCTTTACTTCACACTTGGATGGGAAACTTATCTCCAAGTTCTTGGGGCACTGCTGAGGAGGCCACTAGCACTTGCTGTGGCATCTTCTGTGGAGCCGACATGTGGGTCTGTACTGTAAGCCTCTTGTGGTGTCCTC